ACGCGAACTCTTCGACCACTCTTGGACTACCTTGTCCGCGTCTGTCACGGAAGCCGGAGGATGTCGAGGCGGCTGTTACAGGAAGGAAGGACTTCTTTATGGTGGTGGTGAACCTCGGTAACCTCGAGAAGAGACCCGGCGGGCTTATTCACAAACGCGTTTCGCATTGCATCCGGACGCTGCCAGCATAATAAGATATAGGTCAAGTGCGGCTGGTACCATGTATGGCCATACCTGTGCCGAGGAAGGACAAAGATATACGCAGGTTATCGTTGTCGAGTCGAAAGGGTTCACTCTACATCTTCGCCATCTTGCCTCTTCGCCTATTTCGTACGCCACCTGTCGCACGAAATACTTGACCACGTCCAGAATTAATTCCTACGCTTAAGAAGGAAAGTTTAAATTTTATTATCATCGATGTTTCGATTTTTTTATTTACGATATTTTTATTTATTTATATTATATAAGGTTTTTTAAAAAGAAGAAATAAAAGTGTAAATCGATTTTATAATTAATCGATTAACAAAATTCGTAATTTATACGTATCTTTGATTAATCTTTGGCGATTGACATTGATGAATCACGTTAGAATCTAATTAATAGTTCTTTGAACCAATTATATATATTATTGTAAGTATAATCATTGTAAGTATACAAGTTTTTCTTATATTTCATTATGGTTTAACATTCTTTTCAATCATTTCAATTATAAATTACATAAATTAGGAATGATATGAAAATAATTATATTATTTTTATATTTTCTAAATTAAAACGCAATCTAATCGTTTATCTTTTCGAAAAATTCAATTAAGATTTACGTAAAAGTATTTAGAGCTGTATCGTATAACCCTCTTAGGTATGGCTTCTTTATTACGTAAGTTGTCGGTCCAAACCTTTCAGAACCGTAGATTATTTATGCAACGTTCTTTGAAATCGTTATTCACCAGTTTATATTTGATGATAATTACGTTCTTTTACGTAATTATAAGAAAAATATGTATGTAAAATTATATTATCCAATTATGTTTCACGTTTTATTATTGTAATATAATGTATTTTCTTAAATATTCTCCATCTACTTGATTATATTTTCATCTAACACTTAATAATCTACCAATTGTTCTCAATTATACAAATATTCTTCCAGATGTTACTTTCAAATTTATACATTCTTTCTTGCTACTATAAAAATTATGATATATATAATTAATATTTATATAATTATAATAATATTATAATAATATTATATATATTAATATTTATATAATATTTATATATAATTAATATTCCTAAAATTAATAAATATTAATAAGTTAAAAAAAAAGAAAATGGAATTTCACTGTAAAATTTTAACATTTTAAATAATTCAAATATTCTTCCAAATTTATATGCTGTCTTTCTTACTACTATAAAAATTTGATTATATTATTACTTAATTAAGTAGAAATTAGTGGGTATCCAGTTAAAAAAAAAAAAAAAATAGAATTTTACAATCAAACTCATTCAAATTCG